TATATATATATATATATATATATATATATATATATATATTTGCAAGCATTCAAGTGGATTCTTGAATCTGTGGATAAGGAATCCGTGGATATGGATTGCTGACTGTGCATGTCTGATATTCTGCCCTTTGGTTAAAAGGGCATTATAAATAAACATCACTGTTGTTGATCTGGCCACAGTGGTACATGCCTTGGGTACATCCTGTTTGGAGTACTGTAATGTGCTCTTTGAAAAGTGTCCACAAACATCACTTGGCCCAAAGAACTGCAGCCAGGTTGTTAAATTGGATGGACCACAGGAGGCATGTGTGTTCCTCTTCATTCATAAATTTTAGCCTCTTGACCACACTCGGATGTCACTTGGCCGCACGTGTCCTGGTCTGCATCTAGGGAATATTGGAGGCTAATAATAATAATAATAATAATAATAATAATAGATTTTTATTTATAGCCCGCCCCTCTGTGCGGCAATCTATCTCACCTGTTTTTGTTATTTAAGGCAAAATCCACACTATGAGTGCCTCTACACTGTAGGGATGATGCAGTTTGATATCACTTTAAATGTGGTCATTCCATCCTTTAGAATCCTAGGATCTGTAGTTTTACAAGGTCTTTTGCCAAAGAGAACCGGTGCCTCACCAAACTACAAATCCCAGGATTCTGTAGGATGGAGCCAGGGCACTTAAAGTGGTGTCAAATTGTGTCATTTCTACTAAGTTAAGAGTTTGGGTTTTTTTGTTGTTGTTGTCTTTCATCCATAAATATTATTTATTTATTTAAAGCATGTCGCTATCCTCACTCATGATGCTGTCTCCCCCGAGGTGAGGTACAAGGGAAAAAATATTTAAAATATTAAATAGCCAAATAAAAACATTTATAAACAAGCTTAGACTATGCTTAAAAATAGTTTTAAAATGGCAAACAGTTAAAACAGCTTCCTCCTTCCACTGAACTTAATAAGTCATGAAAGTGTTCACATCTGGCTAGAGATGGCCTCTTATTCTCTTCCCCCCTCCAAATAGTCCTTTTGAGTAAGATGAAAAATTTAAAATATTCTGCCAATGTTTTGCTTATCTGGCCCCGTGGCTTCCATATACAGAAGCTTAGCTTGGCTGGATTCCCTTGGGGAGTTCAGGGTCTGGGCTAATATTCCTTAACAGCATGAGCCGCCTCCAGTTTTAGTGTCCAGAAACAATCTTGAAAGCTTCTTACCTTTGACAGATGGACCATTTGAATTGTCATTATGGCCCCGTCCGAGGCTGAAACCTGTCCCTGAATTTCTTCATTAGAGTCTCCTTCGTCAGCATCAAGTCACTCCAGACCTTTGAATGGCACCGCAAATTCTTTTATGGAGGAAAAATGGCCACACGGATGGAGGAATTGGGAGCCAAAACCTGGAGACAGAGTGGCTCCTTTTACCAATTTGACAGCTGCCATGGACAGTTGAATACCTTTCCCCCCCTCTCCCTCTTTTCTCTTTTGTATAATCTCATTCCCCATCCTTTCTGTCTGACTCCTTTGGTTTCCAAAGTCTGTGCAGAGGAGGCCAGAACCTGTCCTCATTTTGTGGTTTTACATTGGCGTAAATACTAGCAAGCAAGCGGTTGCACTTTCTGCAGGGGAGGCATCCTACTTATGCCCGCACAAGCCCTGTTGCACTATTGCAGACCATTGCACAAGGATTTGCACTATGTTGGATGGGAAGGGCAACTGTGCAAGGAGGGAGGGAAGCAGTTTCCTCTCTCAGCAGTAATGGCTGGGAACCTAACTAGGTTCAGCACCATGGAAAGCTCATGTGTTGTGTAGTTGTTCTGTGTCTTTAAGACGTTTCCCACTTATGGCAAGCCTAAGTTGAACCTAGCACAGGGTTGTTGTGTGCCTTCAAGACCTTTCCAACTTATGGATACCCTAAGGCAGTCCTATCACAGGGTTTCCTAGAGCTGAGAGGATGTGACTCACCCAAGGTCACCCAGTCGGTTTCCATGGCCGAGTGGGAAATTGAACCCTGATCTCCAGAGTCATAATTCAACACTCAAACCACTACCCCACACTGCCTCTCAAGCCCATGTAAAATTAGCCAAAACCTGAAATAGATTCACTCCCTTACTGACATGGGTGCCACCAACCACCGAGACCACCCCCTGAATCAGTAGAGATCCAGTAATGCTCCATTCAGCTTTGCAAGAGCAAACAGTACAAAGCCAAAGGCGGTGTTAGAAACAGAAATAGCATTTACATTTCTATACTGCTTATCAGTGAGCTCAGCACTCTCTAAGCAGTTTACAATTCGTAAGCCAATTGCCCCCAACAAACTCCGTACTCATTTTACTGACCTACAAAAGGATGGAAGGCTGAGTCAACCTTGGAGCCCTGCAGGGATCGAACTCACAACCTTATGATTGTATTACAGGCATTTAACCACTGCACCACCAGGGATGTCGAGATCTTCTTGCAAAGTTTGGGCAGGTGAAAATACTTGGAAGACATAGGAGGCAGAGGGTGAGGGCAGTGTTATTCATTCCTGAACAACAGGGGAATTGACCCCTCTCATCTGCAGTGGCTGCTGCCCAGTAAATGGGAATAGTGGGTGGGTAGGACTAAGAATCACTGTAAAGATGTGTAACTATGGTGGTCATGCATTTGTAACTGCCCAAGTGCATTCCAGCCAATAAGTCTCCAACTCCCAATAGTCTTCAGAAACTCTATATTTTGCAGTTTTTCTCCTGGGGGGAAGAAAAGTGCTCAAATTATTTGTTGCTTCCTTCCTGAAGAAAATCAATGAAAAGTTTCATCCCTATTAAAGTACAGTTGCCCTTCCATTCTTGTGGATTTCAAGTCAGCAGTTTTACATATTCATGGAGGGGTGATCTCCATTTAAATCAATGGGGTGCACCCCATTCAAGCCTATGGGTCTTGAAGATTCGCTAATCTCCCTTTTTGCGGTGGGGTCCAGAAGGGATCCCCCACGAAAACAGAGGGCCAACTGTATATGCCTTCAAGTCACCTGTTAATGGAAGAGGAAGAGTTTTTGCCTATAGCACCTTGCATTCTTTAGTGTTCCCCAGTCCAAATACTAACCTGGCTTGACTTTGCTTTCAAGATGAGACAGGATCTGGTGTCTTTGGGTATTGCACAGTTTAAATCTCCACATGCACAGGGTGTGGTTGTGGTTGCATGCCTTCAAGTTGTTTCTGACTTATAGCAACCCTATGGCAAACCTAGCATGGGGTTTTCTTGGCAAGATTTCGTCAGAGGAGGTTTGCCATTGCCTTCCCCTGAGGCTGAGAGAGTGTGACTTGCCTAAGGTCACCCAGCCGGTTTACATGACTGAGCCGGGATTCAAACCCTGGTCTCCAGAGTCGTAGTTCAAAGCTCAAAGCACTGTGCCACGCTGGCTCTACACAGGGTAACTAGATGTCATAACTAGATGTTATCCTGCATATACAGAGTTGCACAGCCACTGAGCTATGCAACCCTTGTGTTGAATTGTAACAATGATGCACCCAACACACCAAATATGCAATGGCATGCACAATGAAAAGAGTGCATGCATCCATGGGGAACTCATTCCCAGTGCAAATATGCAATGCACATCCATGCTCAGTGCACCTATATGCACAATGGCATGACATGGCAAGAAGTTGGAGGGGGTGAAGGATGGAAATTGCCCACACTGGATGAGGAAAAAACAGATTGAAACTGAATCCAGACAAAACAGAGGTACTTCCCCTGAGGCTGAGAGAGTGTGACTTGCCTAAGGTCACCCAGCCAGTTTACATGACTGAGCCGGGATTCAAACCCTGGTCTCCAGAGTTGTAGTTCAAAGCTCAAAGCACTGTGCCACGCTGGCTCTATACAGGGTAACTAGATGTCATAATTGCAAAGAGGGCAAGGCACCGCAAAATGTAAAGCATTCAAGAAAAATCGAACACGTTACAAAATAAAAGCTAAAACCACTAATAAAAATATAAATTCATCTCATATGGTTTCTTTACAGCTATATAGCATATACCGCATTTTCTTATGTACTCGGTCATATTTTTCTGATGAACTTATCATCATTAAAATTCCTCACTGGTTTGCAATATATATAGAATGCTGAGCAAGACAAATGTTAAAAATTGTACTTTGCTAGCAACAAACCCTACATTTAAATGATTCTTTTCTTTTGTCCATCATGTTGGAATTGAGGGGAAAACCCTTTTCAACATTTGCATTGTGTCCTCTAGCAGCCCATTGCCAAAAATGTTTGCTGTCTTTTCCCCCTCTGAGCTCCGGGTACGAATCTTGTCTGCTGCTGCTCCTAGGTGCACTGAGCATGGATGTGCATTGCATATTTGCACTGGAAATGAGTTCCCCATGGATGCATGCACTTTTTTCATTGTGCATGCCATTGCACATTTGGTGTGTTGGGTGCATCAATGTTACAATTCAACACAAGGGTTGCATAGCTCAGTGGCTGTGCAACTCTGTATGTGCACAGAAGTTCTCCTTTTCCAGGATATGTAATAATAATAATAATAATAATAATAATAATAATAATAGTAAAATTAATTTTTATCCCACCCCTCTGTGCAATGCAACCAGGGCAGCTTACAATATTAAAATATACATTCCGTATCCCCCAATCCCACCCCCCTTAAAATACTATTAAACAGTTGACAGTTGAAAACTTACTTAAAATAGTAACACAAATAAACAATAACTGCAGCAGAATCAGGGATAAGCAGGTTGGGCTATCTTTTGGTGGCTGGGATATCTATTCAGGAGAGGCCTGCCAGAAGAGCTCCATCTTAACAGCCTTTTTAAAGCTGTCTAAGGTGGTAATATGACGGATCTCATCCAGCAGAAACAATCCAGTTTGAGACCACTTTCACTGCTCTGGCACAGTGCTAGGGAATCCTGGGAATTGTAGTTTCTTGTGGCAACTCTGACAGAGAAGGCTAAACATCTCACAAAACTACAGTTCCAAAAACTGCCTAGTATTGAGCCAGGGCAGTGAAAGCGGTCTCCAACTGGATTATTTCTGCAGTGTGTTTTGGACCTTAGGACCTTATGAAATGGGATTTAAAAGGTGGGGAAAATCCGCAAAAGCGGGTAGATTTTCACACATATCGCTTTTAAAGTGGGCTTAAGCCAAACGGAAAGTAGTCAAAAGCCACATCTTTTTTCTTTTGGGATTTTCCGAAAGTAAAAAGAAGTGACTTTTGACTACTTTCCATTCCAGTTAAGCACACTTTAAAAGCAATATCATCTGAAAATCTACCTGCTTTTGCAGGTTTTCCCCCTATTTAAAACCCCATTTCTGCATGGGATTTCCACTGTGTGATAAAGTCCTTGGTCTACTTCTTCAGATGCATGGAGTAAACTGGTGCCCAAGTAAGATCTTTATAACCAAACTGTATGAATAGACAATTAAAAAAGCAAAACTTGAGGGTATGGTGAAGAGGTGACCACTTCAGAGGGACAAAGGCAGGAGGAACGATGCTGTCTGAGGCCAGGAGAGGTGGATGACCATATGAATGGTGGAGGGAGTTGTGGCTGGGAACCAGAAAGGAGATATAATAAACTGGCTAAGAGCATCCTCATGAGGCTGGGGATCCCTCAGAGTGTGGTGGGGTCTCCTTCTTTGTAGGTCTTTAAACAGAGGCTGGATGGCCATCTATCGGGGATGCTCTGATTTTGAGTTCCTGCATGGCAGAATGGGGTTGGACTGGATGGCCCTTGGGGTCTCTTCCGTTTCTAGGATTCTATGGAGTTTATCACACGGGGGAAATCCCGTGCGGAAATGGGGCTTTAAATTAAACAAAACCCGCAAAAGCGGGTGTTTTTTCAGACGACCTCGCTGTTAAAAGAAGGTTAATCCAAATGGAAATTAGACAAAAACTGCTTCTTTTTACTTTCGGAAGATTCCGAAAGTAAAAAAGAAGCAGTTTTTATCTAATTTCCGTTCGTATTAACCTCCTTTTAACAGCGCTTTTACTTTTCACACAGGGCAGAACGGGAGAAATCCCGTTCATTAAAAGCTTCCGCTTTTGCGTTGTTGTTGTTTTTTACTTTAAACAGCGATTTTGCACGGGGCTCTCCGTGCGATAAGCTCCTATGATTCTATGATCCCTACTAATGGTGACCATGTGGATGAGATACCTCCAAGACTCCCTATCCTCCGCTACATTGCTCAGGTCCTGCAAATTCATACCCATGACCTCTTCTATGGCGTGCATACACCTAGCATTTGGTCTTCCACTCTTTCTACTTCCCTCTACCATTCCAAACATTATTATCTTTTCCAATGAGCGTGCTTTCGCATGAAGTATCCAAAGTATGACAGCCTCAGTTTAGCCATCTTGGCGTTCAGGGAGAGTTCAGGCTTGAACTGTTCTACACATCTGTTTGTCTTTTTGGCCATCCTCAGTACTCTTCTCCAGCACCACATCTCCAACGAATTTATTTTCTTCTCATCCACTTTCTTCACTGTCCAGCTCTCACATCCGTACATGGTGATGGATGATTCTACCTTTTGTGCTCAGTTGGATATCTTTACACTTTAAGATCTTCTCTCGTTCTTTCATGGCTGCCCTCCACATTTCTAGTCGTCTTCTGATTTCCTGACTGCAGATCCCATTTCTATCAATGTTTGATCCCAGGTATGAGAACTCTTTTACTATTTCTATTTCCTCATTGTCTAGGTTCAACTTGTGTGAAGGTCCTCAGTGGTCATTATTTTTGTTTTCTTTATGTTCAGTAGTAAGCCTGCCTTTGCACTTCCTTCCTTGACTTTCCTTCGTAGTTGTTCAAGTTCTGTGATGTTTTCTGCTAGTAGTTCTCTTTCTGCTTTCATTCATAGGACCTTTTCACACTGGCGAAAAGCTGGGAAAAGGCGGTATTAAAAAGGCACTTTCCTGGCAAAGTCATGAGATCGAAGCAAAGATTTTCAGACAACGTCACGATTAGAGAGGACTTATCCTGGGGAAAAACAGGAATGCTCCAGCAACAAACCATTCACAGGATTTCCCCATGAATGGTTTGTTGCTGGAGCATTCCTGTTTCTTCCCAAGATAAGTCCTCTCTAATCTCAATGTGTCTAAAAATCACTGCCGCGATCTCGCGACTTTGCCGGGAAAATGTCTTTTTAATCCTGTCTTAAATCCCGGTTTTCCCCATGTGATAGTCCATAGAGAGCTGTTGTAAAACAATGCTGACTTGACAGCACATAAGAAGAACTCTCCACTCCATTGCATTTCATTATTTCTATCCCAACTCTTTCCCCCAAAACTGAGACACAATGCATCTCGACAACAACATTATTAGCATTCCCCCCTACTAACAGAATTGTTATTTTTTGCTAGTTTTTGTTGACTCCCTGCAATTCATTCTCATCTCTTGCAAACTGAAGCCTGTTTTGAAGCTGATTCCATGTGAAGCCAGATACTGGCTTGGATATTGCTACTGTATCTGGAGCTTAAAAATAAATCACATTCCTCAAGAGAAGAGAAAATGAAATGCACCTGGCATTGACAAAAGCATGCCAACTCTTGAGCAGGAAAAGTCTCTCCAAGAAGGCTTGAAATTTTGGCCATATTCCTTCCCTGATTTCCTATCAGTCAGGCTTCTAGACATGGCTGGCCTTTTCCCAACAAATAGTTACAAACACCATCAGACTGCATTTGGGCTTTTGTGATGAACTATATTGTGCGTACCTTTCTTTCCCTGTGAATTGTGGCAGTAAACAATACACACTTGTATCTCATGTCAAATTGCTCCACTGAGTTGTGTACATAAAATTGCCTTCAAAATCAGACGTGTAGGAAAGACATCGGCTTGGACTCTCTTATCGAGAAATAGCCAAGATGCAGACAGAAGGGTGGAAAACAAAGCAGCCAATATAATTGCCTCCCTTTTGCTTTCCATTAAACCCCTGCAAGAGCCGTTTGGAATGTTACTGATTTCCTAAGCAATGATTACTGGATGCAAGTAGGAAAGAGGGAGAATGGTTTGGCGTTTGTTTTAGAAATGCTCAATCCAGCCCAGGGACCAAGAACTGATGCAAAAGGCAACTTCATTGCTCTCCAATTTCTCCACTTCTCTAAATTTTCTCATGTTGTGCTCTCACCCCATCCCCCCCAAAATGTGGATGAAATTTGGATCCTCACCAGCAGTTTTGCTGGCTTCCATGAGTTAGAG